AAATATAAAAAAAATACATAGTCAATCTTCAATGTGTTGACGATGTCATGGTATTTTTTTCGGATTTTTTCGACAATTTTTTGACGGTCAAAAGAGCCGTGAAAAGTCGAGAAGGAAAGAGTAGAGAGAGAAAGTAGAGAGATAGTCATAAGGGAAAAAACGTAATTGGGGGGCGGTGATTAGTAAAGGGGGGCGGTAAATAGTAATACCCTTATTTTAATTGAAAAATAAATCTCATTTTGAGTTTTTTTTTTTTTTTTCAAAACGAATTTTGTTTTTAGGTTTAGAACAATGTTGCTCATCCTACAATTAACAAAAATTGTAATATAGTGGAAAAATACTATTCCCTACTGGATGGTTATTTTATTATTTCAACCATCTAGAATAAAGAAAAAGAAACCATATCGTTACTGTAGTAGGAAATTGTCTTCCTATCTACGGTGAGCATATGTTAATATATCAACCAACCATCTAGAATAAAGAAAAAGAAATCATACCATTACGGTAGCATGAAAATGCTCTCTCATCTACGGTAGACACATGTTAATATGTCGCCTGTGAGTAGAGAGCATTATACCGTAGCAATCCCCTATGTCAACGATAAGAAATATTATTTTAACATGGCCACGTGGCTTTCATTTAATTGTGCCACAAAATAATAACCTTTAATTTAAATAAATTATCTCAAAACCCCGTGCCGCACGAGTTTCTGTTTCTCCCCCTTTTATCACCATTTTTGCACCCTACAACCACCAGTCAAAGCCGCACGCGCCTCCGCACGCGCCCACGCACATCCCCTCAGCTCTATGGCCATGGCTAATTCCCTGTGCTACACCAGCCCGTTCCAGATAAAATCCCCATCGGAGCAGAAGCCCCAGCTGCAACTACCCGGAGCTGGCCTCACGCGCCGCTCGCTTCCCTCTCTGAGATTCACACCGGCGGTTAGGCCCTCTTCCTCGACCGCGCCGGTTTTTGCGGCCGCCTCCGCCGGCGCAGTTGAAGCCGAGCCTAAATCGAGAGCTGCTACCCCCGCGAAGGCCCTGCCCTTTCGCGTGGGCCACGGGTTTGACCTTCACCGGCTCGAGCCGGGCTACCCTCTTATCATCGGCGGCGTTAACATCCCTCACGATCGAGGCTGCGAGGCCCATTCAGATGGTAATTATTGCGTATTTTGTTTCTGTTAGAACACTAATTACTTGTCCACTTGCAACTGTGGATGGAATTACTCAAGAGACTGAGCAGTGTGATTTGTGAGATGAAAAGGACACAAAATAACTGTGCAAATCGGCCTAACCGTTAGACTGATCGACTACACTTTTAAACAAAAAACTCATAGTTGTGTTATGAAATGTGATGTTTGTGTTGGTAACAGAAAAATCAAAGGGGAATGAGTATTGAATGTGTTCTATTTTTATGATTTTTTGTCTTGGATAAAAAATATATCTGTGTTTTGAAGTGTTGAGCTTGCTCTTTTTACTATCCTGATACTATTTTCTTGTTCATAGGTGATGTGCTGCTGCATTGTGTGGTTGATGCAATATTGGGGGCACTCGGGCTTCCGGATATCGGGCAGATCTTTCCGGACAATGATCCTAAATGGAAAGGCGCACCATCTTCCGTTTTTATGAAGGAGGCCGTGAGTTTTCGTAACCTCAAATTCTTTTTATGCTTGTGTGATTCTCGAATGTAGTTAGACGATTTACCTTATAAAGACGAATGTTTTACATTTTCTACTGCAACTGGATTTATTCATTCGTCACTCAGCATGCGTGGCTTTAGAAAATCCATTCAAAGCTGTGATCAAACTTCAAAAGGATTGTACTATAATTAGCAGCATTAGCTGAATTAGCAAATGCGCGGTGTTTACAGAAGTTTGGTGGGATTATGTCTCATAGGACCATATCCAAATTGGGGTGCTTATCTTTAGGGACAGTGTGTTCCATTTTCTTTAATTTGAAAATCACAGTCTCGGTTTTCAAGGATAAGAGAATAAGAGATGATGGGTTGTGTTGCTCTTGCAGAACTAGATTTGCAAACATGCTACTGGATTTATTTTAATCTGATGTGTGGCGCATACTTAGAAAAAACCTAAGAAAATTTATTGTGCGATTATCACTCTTAAACAGACTACCGAACATGCGTTTTGTTTGAGAAAGATGTTAGACAAAAGAAACAGGGCAGAAGAAAATGACAGTGTCTCGATTTTTCTGCACGAGAGCCGCTAATTTTTTCTACATATCTAGTCTACACCTCGCGACTCTAATTTGGATCTATTGTTGAGTAATCTAACTTGTGTTCCACTTCACGTTTTTCTACAATGTTAGGTTCGCCTAATGCATGAGTCGGGCTATGAACTAGGTAATTTGGATTCCACTCTGATTCTGCAAAGACCAAAGTTGAGCCCCCATAAGGAGGCTATCAGGGCAAATTTATGCGAACTACTCGGGGCTGACCCTTCTGTCGTGAATCTAAAGGCAAAAACGCACGAGAAGGTTGACAGCCTCGGGGAAAATAGGAGTATTGCTGCACACACAGTCGTTCTTCTTGTGAGGAAGTAAACGATAACTTGTTCCGCTTTTCATTGTATTTGTACTTCAACATCAATTACCATACATTTTACAATGAACACGGCTATTTAAGGTCATTATTTTTTATAGTCGATAAACAAATAGGTGATACAATTGAACTACGAAAATCTTGGAGTATGACATGAAATTGAAGATTTATCTGTGCAGGGTTTAGTTTTGGGCATTGATGAGGTGAAATTGCTAGTGTGGAATAGTTAGTGCTCTTTGAGTGTGATATAGTCGATCATACTAAATAAGTGATTGAAATGTAAAATAGAAATATAAATTCAGCTATATGTTTTTTATTACTATTTCTACATTTAAATAGGTATTTTGCTTGTGCTATTTTGATCAATCATTCTAAATCTAAGACTGAAAATTCACAATCTCAATGGAGCAATGGGCGGATGTTGTCATTTTCTCCGTAAGAAAATTTTCTCTGTAAGAAAAGCATACATGCAACTGCAAATTTGCAATTTTTGGCCCTTTTATATTCATATTTATATATATGGCTATATAAGTTTATTTTATTTATTACATATATTTAACATGTTTTGGTGTTTAATTTGATTTATTTTCTTTAAAAATTTCTTATTTATTTATTATTTTTTTAAAAAAAAAAAATTGAAATAATAAATAATATTGACAAGTAAAAAATAATAAGTAAAATATGACATGAAAATTAGCAAAACTCACACATATATACACACACACACACACCAGAAGAGTATATATGTATAGAAACTCAATCCAATAACTATGAAAAAAATTATAAAATATTTTAAAGTTTTTCATGTAAATATTTTCAAATAATTTATCTATAAAAATAGAATGTTACATAAAAGGATGGTGAAATTTCGATGTTAATAAATTTAATTCAATTCTTATGAAAATATAATTATTATATTTTCAGATTATTTATACAAATATTTTAAAATAATTTATCTATAGAAAAAGTAAGACTTTTATATTGAATTTTAAAAATTATGTAATTTTTATTTGCACGAATATATGCTAAGCCGATGCAATTTTTTTTCTCGAATAGTGTAATTTATATATTTTTAAATATTTGTTTGAAATTTGTATACATACGAATTATTTATCAATAATCAATTTTATTACGTACGCTTCCATTAAACAAAACAAGAGTATAGTCTAATTTATAAATTTGTTAAATATGTGGACAAATTTAAAAGTTGTAAAAAATAATGTGAAAAAAATATTATGAAAATATTTTTTTCAGTTTGACAATGAGTTTGGAGAAGAATTACTATTTTTGTGACGATTACTCCAAAATGAGGTTGAAAAAGAATCACAAATTGAGTGACAATTATTGCAAAATGAGTTAGAAATAGGTTTTTCGTTAGAAATGGTTTGTGATTTTTTGTTTTACCCGACTAAGGCATAACATGAATGAAACACGTGATACTTTGCAAACAAATCCTCACATTTTATTCACAATTAGAACATACATTAATTCACACACCATTTTTTTTATTTTTTTTTTTTT